TCTTGGGCCTGCATGCAATGTGGCAAAGCAGAATGGCTGTGCGGCACGCTAATGTTAATGCGCGCCCTCTACGGCCGTATTTTATAGAAAGTGTCCACAGAGTCAGACAGAAATTGGTGTAAGCCACGATGGTCTGCCCTCCTGATTGGTTGTCCATTCTTGATGCTCTGGAGAATGTGAAGGAATTTTATACATTCATGCCCGCGCACCACGCGTCGTGCATCAAAGCAAATTGTGTGTATGTTTATAGAGCCGGAAGTTAGTCTGCCTCAGTGGGCGTCTGGTGTCTCAGCTGTGGATGAGCGATTTAGCCACTGCGGTACAACCGCTAGCCTGCGGTCTTTAACGTGCACCACGCAGATAGTGATACACGACCGCACGCCGGTACGATGCTCATCCAGATCAAACGGGGCAGGGGCGGGGATTGAGCCCAGAATCCTGGGTTCTGCAGCGCGAGCTTTCGCTCCACGTGCTCCGAGCTGGTGTGCACTAGAGCGGAGGCATGCGGTTTAGAAAAGCTCGTTTTAGCGAACGCCGTTTTACCGACCCCAGTTCAATGAATTCATTTCTAGAGAAACCAAGTTTAGAGAAAATGGCGATGAGCCTCCTTTTAGCGAATTAGGCCGTCGCGAAGCGGCGTGTACGGAGAAATCAGGTGAGTTAACACTTTTGTAATGAGCCGCCGCAGACTGCCGCCGCGAAGCGATGGCAGTCTGCGGCGGCTCATTACAGCAGGGGGTTTGGGTTAACGCGCGCACCAGTGATACACGCGCGAAGTAGGAAAGCCTTTTTTGAATAGCGTCCCCTTTGCGATAAACGGCATTTCTCTAAACTGAGGCTCTGGCTTCTCTAAACCGTGCTTTGATAAAACGTGCCCGTTCTCTAAAACGTGCTTCGACAAAGTGGCATTCGATCAACCGTAGTAAACCCCGTTAGACCACTCGGCCACCGATTCCCCGCGTCGTACATGCGATTTTAACATTGTGATTGTATTTGTATTCTTTTGTCCTAACAGACAATAAGAAAAGAAAAAGAAAAGGCGCGCCCGTGGCTTAGAGGTTATAGTGCTTGGCTCACACACATGCAAAGACCCGAGATTCGATTTCTAGCTGCGGGTGTACCTTTTTGTTGTTTCTGTAAATGTCGCGTTCTGGCAGATTCGAGAACCATGTTGCTTATTCCAGGTTAGAATGTTTTACGTGCGGAAGGAGCCGGAGTCAGTTTGCGCCCCAGCGCTCGATCCAGCTGTTTCGCCTACATTGACGCATGCGAAGCTAACCTTCTTCTCTTGCGTTTTGGGCACAGGTTCGCCCCATTAAACGTTCAGTTTCTTCAGTTATTCGCCGCCTCATCATTTGTCATTCCTGACAATATCATGAGGTTCATGCGCCAGTGCAGTCAATGGCCGGAGCGTACGTGTAAGATTGTCAAACGTTAGGTTGATGTGCATTATATGTGTATCTGGAGGGCCCGAGTGTTGAAGAGTGGGCTGATTTCGTAAAACAGCAGGCTCCTGAGTTGTCTTTCACGAGCGATCTCTGTTCTACGGATTTTCTTCAGTTTCTTGATTTGAAAGTGTATTGTTTTCAGGGATAGTGCTAGGGCTACGGCAAAGAAACGCTGAAGCCTATACACGAACTCATCTCTGTTACGTCACGGCGCGGTGGTGGCGCGTCGGTCGCACTTCCGGTCTGGAGCTCTGGGCAGAAGTTCCCATGCCAGACGTGTATTCCTGCGTTGTTTTGAAAGGAACCAGACAAAAACCTGCCTGCTCGTCAAAACGCCGCGACTGGGGCCGTACCAAAAGAGTCGAGAAAGGCTTGAAGGTCAGTTTTCACGTGCTCGGTTCGTCCGAGAATCTGGATATGTGCCGTGAAAAGGGAAAAGCAGACGCCGTCGGTCAACGATTGCTTGGGCGGGAAGCACTTTGGGTTGAATTCACGGATACTTGTGGTCATCAGATTTATTTGTTTTGTTCCAACATGAACGCCAGAAAACCGTCAAGTTGTGCGGACTACCTGCGGACTATGTTCAGTGCGTCTTCAAGTTCAAGCGGCCGCCTGATCGTTCGAACTGTCGTCTGCTCCAACGTTTATAGATACTTCTCCAGTTCCCGAACTGCCCCTCTCCAGGCGGGTGCGACCGATCCCTAGAGACTGCGAGGGCGCTGCGATCGAAGCTTGCGCGTGTGTGCCGGCCAGGCCAGCTCCGGTTACGTGGTTGGGCTTGCATTTTCGCTCGCTGTTCGCACTGTTTGTTACGTGATCTGTTGGTTTTCTGCCCTTCGAGTGTGTGATTGCTTTCGACGGTTTGTGATACGACGTTCGTTGTGAAGTGACGACTGCATGCAGCTGTTATAATGCCTACGTGTTTCGTACCCGGTTGTACCAGCGGGTACAAAAGCAACCCGCAGAAACGACACTATTTTGCGCCGCCTCGTGATCCGCAGCTTCTCGGAAGGTGGACGAGAGCGATCCCTCGCGCAGACAAAGTATTGACTAAGACGTGCAGGGTCTGTGACGTACACTTCCAGGAGGCGGACATCGTGAAGACGTACAAGCATGTCATTAACGGTGAGACTGTCGAGATCGATCGGGGAATATGGGCTCTGAAAAGCGATGCAGTTCCTTGCCTTTTTCCAAACCTGCCAAGCTACCTCTCATCACAGCGCAAGAAGCGGCGATCGCCAAAAAAAAAGGGCCACGGCGGCTAAAAACGAACTGCCTATGTCTAGAGATCGACCGACAGATTTCCAGCCGGAGCCGCCTGTTCCCGTGAAGGCCTTCGATTTTGCAAATATTTTGGAGAGTAGTGGCTCTCTCCAGCTTCCTAAAAACTGGAGGTCAGCGGCCTTAGGAGAGGAACCCGGGGAACGTCGGCAGATTGTTTTTTATGATGCGGGAATGAAGGCGGGTGCATATACCATCCTTAAGAGCGTCGTAATTCGCGAGGACCTCAGCTTCGTCGTTCACGCCAACGGAAAGCTGCTGCAGAGATCCCTTGTCGACCTGCAAATATGCTCCTCGAAGGACGTGGAAGCAATCCTGCAGATTGTGCATATAAAGCAGTTTTGCCGTGGCTGCTCCCACAGCGCCTTGAGCTCCAGCAGTGTGGCAGAGAAAGTTGGCGACATACTGTACCACAAGGACTGCTTAGTTTTGACAGATGCAGATAGAGGCATGTGTACTTTCTGTGCCTCTTTGACAAAGAGCCTGAAAAGAAAGCTAAGAAAAACACAGCCAAGGAAAAAGGTCCGTGTGGCAGCAAGCGTGCTTAGGAAACGGTTGATTCGAGCTACTGCAGCACGAGAACGAAAGAAGCGAGAAGTGCAACGACTCAGTGAAAAGCTAAAGGATGCATTTATGATAAGTCTTGATGACATCGTGCAGGATTTGCCTGAAGTGCAGAAGATTGCAATTCGGACGGCAATTATGCAACAGGCAGCCAAGTCACCCCGTGGTCACAGATATACAACAGAGTGGCATATGGTCTGCTTGCTTTTGCGACTGACAAGTCCAAAATGCTACAGGGCATTGTCTGATATGAAAATTCTTCCTCTTCCAAGTGCAAGTCGTCTCGTGCAGCTGCTGAGGGGCCTCCCATGCCAGTACGGTTTAAAGAAATTTGCCCTTGTGAGCATCAAGCTTCATATGACGGAGAAGCCAGAACATCACACTTACGGCTGTGTAATCATTAATGAGGTCAAGCTGAGAGAAACAACTGAATTTAATAGAGTGTCCTGCAAATTTGATGGCTTCGTCGACTTTGGTGATGTTGCCGAGGCTAACATAAACAAGCTAGCTGACCATGCTTTAGTGGTCATGTTTAATCCTATGTTTGAGTCATGGGTTCAGCCTATTGCAACCTACGCAACGAAAGGAGCAGCGCCAGGGTGGGTGTTGGCAAAAATGGTTATGAACTCGGTGCTACAACTACACCAGCACGGTGCCATAGCCTTGGCAGTAATCAGCGATGGGGCCGGCAACAATAAGTCGATGTGGACAGAGCTTGGGATTACAGGAAAACTCGACAGCCCTCAATGCAAGATAGAGCACCCATGCCTCCCTGGTGGGCATCTCCACTTCATATGCGATGTTCCACACATAATCAAGTGTGTTCGAAATCACATGATGAAGCACAAATATGGACAAGTAAGTTGAATCATGCTACAACCAAACCTTACTTATATATTAGTCTTTGTAACAGATGCAATGAAGTGAATTTCAGTGCTTTTCAGTTGTAATTTGGAAATATGTCGTAGTTTAATCACTTCTTTCTTTGCAGATAGGAGATTATCAAGTGAATTATCATCATTATGAACAACTTTTCGAAGTCGAAAAGAAATCTGACATCAGGGTAGTACCAAACTTGACAGAGTACCATGTCAAGCCACAGAGACTTCAGTCCATGAATGTTCGTCTAGCCACCCAGGTATTCTGTTTTGCACACTCACCCCTAATCCTCATTGACGTAAGTTCCCTTGCAAGTTTGCTTGCTATTTCTAAGCAAATCTTTATTGACACTTTGCATACCTCTGCCATGTCTCTACAATTCCGATTAATTTATTTGCATTCTTGGCATCCAGCAAGCTAAAGTTGGTTGTGCAGCTGTGTGCTTGTTTACAATTGCTGGGAATACAAAGGACAACACTGCTTTCAGCTCTTCAGCCGCAGCGTTGCAACAGGCCTAAGTGTCTACCGGCGTCTTAAGGTACCTGGTTTTGCTGACAGTGTTGAAACAGAAAAGTTTACTTCCCTTCTGAATTACCTTTTTGACATTTTAAATGTCAAAGTTCCTGAAGCTGGAATAAAGAAAGGATCGCCCAGAATAAAGGTAAGCAAAGAGACATATGTTCCTCTCTTATGATCTTTAGAGCCAGGCACTCAAGCATCATTGAAAAAAAAAAGAACTGGTGCTGCTTCACAAATTATTTTGCCTTGTCGTCCAGGCCAGAGTGCCAAATGACCTGTCGCACCGCCTTTTTGTTCTTGCAGTTTCTGGAAAGGTTCGTGGAAATGATGAACCAAACCGAAGCAAAGAAGACAATCAAGCTCTTTGCGTCTCAGCAGACTATTGAGTCTCTTCGTGTAACACTGATGTCTGTTGCATCTTTAATCAGCTTTCTACATGAGAGAAATGTCAACTACGTCTTGACGGCAAGCTTGAATCAGGACCCACTTGAGGTAATTTGACTTTCGCATTAATTTTTCTGGAGCTTTGAAACCTATCGTATCATTTTATTACTTTTTCAGAGGTTTTTCGGGCTTGTGAGGTCTTTTGGAGGAGACGAAGATCACCCCACGGTGACGAAGTTCAGCCAGCTATTTCGCTTGCTTTCCCTCTACACCCCTGTCAAGGTAGCTGTCAAAGGAAACTGCGAGGGAGGCAGCGACCGTGTTCTGCTCAGTACATTTGAGAGTCTCGGGGGGAGACGACGCGAGGCACTTTTGCAGAAAAGTGCACTGAAAAAACATGTTTGGGACCAGCTTATGTCCATACCTCTCAATGATATGCCTAACAGTGGTAATGACCATATGTACAATGCTCCTACACCAGAAAAAACAGCTCTTTACTATTTAGCAGGGTATGTAGCCTTCAAAGTAAAAAAGAATACAAGTTGCGAGAACTGTAGAAAAAACGCTCTAGGTGTGCAAGATGATCTGCCTCCTGAGGCAGTACTCGTAACTGAGTGTGCCTATGCCACAGGTAGTCTGGTGTACCCGTCTGAACGGCTCTTTGCCTGCATAGGCACTGTAGAGTACATACTGAGCCGAACCTGCAAGGAAGCATGCAAGGAAGATGCTTTTGGTGATCTTTTTTGGAAGGTTTTAGATTCCCTAATGAAGAGTGGCACCAACTCTGTTGGCTGCCCACAACATCTTAATGAATTCACAGCCGAGGTTATTCACTTCTATTTGGTGACACGTATGCACTTTTTCGCACGCAAAAAGTGCCAAGAAAACGATAGTGCCATAAGGGCCCAAAGAGAAAGGAAAAAGGCCAAGCTTGTATAGTGGAGCTTTAACTGTAACAGGCTTTGTTTTGCGCGTGATTTGAAGCCCTTTTTTTATTTTTTGAGAGTTAGCAAAATAAAATTGATTGTGTTGCGGCTTGTGTAATGTGTTGTGAATGAGCAGTTTCTGTAGATACTTTACTAAATTGCAAGTTGAGCAAATCTTCTAAAATAGCATAGGTAAGATCGATATATTTTGTAAGACAAAAAAGAAAAGCAAAATGCCCAGGACGGCGCGATTGCGACGCGCAGCTTTTCTTTTTTTTTTTTTTTTGCGACATTAAATCACTACGTGCTTTCTGTGAATATATGGAATAAATTCATACCGACCGCGCGAACGATCCTCGTCTCGCTCGTTTTTATTGACGACGTGAGGCACCCAAGCATAGTGACAACCGCTGCGGGCCAAGGCTGAACCGCTTGCACGTACGTATTATTTTCGGTGTTACATCATTTGCAAGTTACCTTCTGTTCAAAAACGACCGAAATTAAAGTAATAGCGCGTTACTCGCGAAATCAGCCGAGATCCCGGGCTGCAGTAGGCGTACTGAACATTGCGCGCAAGGGAGCGGCGATCGTCCTGATGGCGCAACCTTCGACCGCAGCGCTGCGGTGGCGGGGACCGCGCCGGGCCGCCTCCACCCCACAGGCGCGCCGAGGAGATACGGAACTGAACGTTGGTCTGCTCTTTCAAACGTTTCTGCTTGTCGTCTGTTCTCTTAGACGACGCCGGCCCGTACACCAAATGTTGACCCGGTACTTGTGATAAGAAGTAAGTGCAGGCCTCAAAAGACTTACATTTGAAGGTTGGTAAGCAGGCTTGATGTAAACAGTAGATACAAGGAGATGTTGATCATCATTACCAGTGAACATCACCGACTTGTTATGCCTAATTCACTTGGTTCGATTCTGCTTGCGATTTTCAGTATCGACGTCGACCATCTCAGCTACGGTTCACGCTTTTGCAGCCCGAGCGGTGTCGCGACTGGGCGCGTTAAGTCCGTGCTCCGGAGCGCGAGAGTTTGGTGCTCCTTCCACTAAACGGACAGGAGTGCCACCGGAGACTGAAACTCGAGCGCGCTTTTCGTGCACCGAGAATTTTTTGGAACGCGAGTGACTTCTTCGCGCTCCGTGACGTCACGTAAACAAACAAGATGGCTGCGCTGCTGTTGAGACCGTCGAGGCGAAAAGGCGTAGCCGGACCGCTGCCCCTTTTCAGTTGATTAGTGCTTAATCCAGCGGATAAAAACGATTTGATTTGAAAGTCAAGACAGCAATTAGCGTTCCGAAAAAGGTTTGCTCAAGCATCTCGCCTGAAAAAGGAATTCATCTGTCAAACGGTAGCGTGCCGATGGCACAGCGACAGAAAAGTTATCAAGATGCGGAGACATTCGGACCGCTCTGTCCCTTTTATAATGCTTAGCCCAGCGAATAAAGATGGCAGTGGCTTCTCGGACGGCCGTCGCTGGAGCCACATCCACACAGACAAGGCTCCTTCGACACCGGAAGTGACGTATAAAACCACGTGACTTATAAAATTAATATAAAATTACTTTAATTTTATATATTCAGCCATATCTTAAACTTCTATAGCCCACAAATATATTTACAGTGTATTTTTATGCACTTTTGAAATTAAAAGGTCACGTGGTATAAATAAAATAAGGCTATTGAGCTATTATTTTATGTAAAAAAGCGGTGCTATAAAGTCTAATGCATTGTAGACATACTGTAAATTAGTTTGTCTCATTATATCAATATCCTATGACGTCGCTTAGAGCGCCGCGCCTGCGGCTCTGCGGGCTCTGCGCGCCTGACCTGTCCCTCCTGCCCGCCTGCCCTGGCTAGCGCCTGGCTGGTCTGGCGGTCGGTGGCGGTCTGGCGTTGGCGCGTTCGTGGCGTTGGCAAAGTCCGTCGAGCGTCAATTCGTCGAGTGCAGCTGGTGCTGGTGCAGCGCGGTGTCTGCGGTCAGACGCGTCGGTGAGGTGGTGGAACTCGAGCGGTGCGCAGGTCGTTCGATATCTCCAGCTGGTGTGGCGTAGAGTGGGTGGACTGAGCTCAAGCATATGAGTTTGCAGCTCGCGTGCACGTGAAGGCTTTGCGTCGACTGGGTCGTTCGTTTCGCCTGCCTCGCCGTCACCCTCTTGACTGCGTTCAACTACGACGTGTATGACCGCGCCCCTGAGTGAAGGGTATTGATGCTGCTGATCGGGCGGTGAACGGGGGGGGGGGGGGGGGGGGCCAAAAAGGGAGAGGGGGGTACGCGCCCCGGTAAGTGAAGTAGCTCGATATGGGCTGTCGGTAACTTAGGTGCTTGAGACGTTCGTATTGTACTATTGGTGATGTACTACATGGTGAGCCCTTTCTTGACTATGAACGAAACTCGTATGAAAAAGTTGGCGTAGGGCAAACTCCTTGTTGAGGTTGACACAAAGCCCCACTCTGGTGCCCCCCTCTCCTTCCATGGTAAAGTTAGTTTTACCCGGTGCCCCCCTCTCCTTCCATGCTAAAGTTAGTTTTACCCGTCACCGTAGAATTGCCCCGAGGGTTTATTTCTGAGGCACATAGCTGGTCTAGGGTCTTTCCAGCTAGAGAGGGCGCATCTCATTCCACAGCTTTCCTTGGAACTTTAAAAGCAGGCTACATTCAGCATGGTGCCTAAAATCTTTCCGTGGGGCACAGAGGTGTCGAGCTGAAGCCTATGCCAAGTTCTACAGCTAGGAGCGTGTTTACGATGATAGTAAGTGAAAATGCACTGGCATACCATAACTACTTGAGAAACTTTTGCCTCATGCCAGCTGTTTTGAAAATGTTCATATCGGCCTTGTTGGACGTCTACTACCCTGCGAAGGCTATCGATACCTCCTCACTATTGTGGATTGGCTTACCTGCTGGCTGGAAGCGACACCTATACAAGACATCGCATGCAGCCGAGACCATTACATCAGCTTTCATTAACACCTGGTTCACACGATTCCGGCACGCCCATTGAGGTTGCAACAGAATGAGCAACAGTTTGAGGCGGTTTTTTTCTGACGCTTCTCTGTGCTGCTGGGAACCAGACACATGAGACTGCCTGTCATCCGCAAGCCAATGGTCTCGTTGAAACTTTTCACTGCCAACTAAAGGCTTCAATTATGACCAATCACAATCCAAATCATTCATTGGATCTCCCCCTGTCATCTTTCTTGTTCTTTAAGCAACTGTCGAAGAAGACTGTGCCTGTTCCTCAGCTCAACTTGTCTATGGCACTTTGCTTCATTTGCCGGTTGAGTTGGTAGCTCCCTGACACCCTGCAGCAACACTCGCCAAGACTGGGACCTACGTTGAAAGACGAGAGAAGATCTTTGAAGGCAGCAGGCCAGTACCGACCCCCACCAGAGCAACCACCAAATCATTCACTGCAAAAGATCTAAATGAACACTGAACCACATCTTGTCTTTATGAAGAATAAGAAACATTTTACAAAGTCAATGGACCAGAACTAGCTTCCACAGACCGCCTCAAACAGCCTATGTTGAAGCAAACCCAACATTGTGTGTCAAAGGTGAAAGTTGCCTGTTTCGATAAACAAGGTGTTTTATCTTGTTTATCGAAACAGGCAATTTTCACCTGCCCAACAACTTTTCCTCATGGTCTTCAACAAGAAACAATTCACTGGAGTGACTTCAGTGAATTTTGGGAGAGATGCCTGCCACTTTTATCCTCATTTCGCTGTCACCCCTGGCTACTGCTTGCCAAAAATAAACTTCCTAAAAAGGCAGACAGAAATGAATCAAAGTTCTCACTCAAGAAAACAGTCTGTGTAAATTGTTTTGCCTTGCCGTGGGCTATCGTTGAATTCATCCTTAAAATTATATAGAGCCTGTATCTGCATCAGGAAGGGGCATAAATTTCTAGGTGGTGCCTTTAATTTCATGATAAGCTTAACTTTATTTCTCATGCAAAGTCTAAAAAAAGTGTCTTGGTACGGCAACCTTTCTCAAATTTTTAGCCATTAAACTTTTTTGCTATGGAATCAGAATAGTGGATCACCATTGCACTACAAGTGCAGTTGTCTGCAGTGCAATGAAGCGCTGGAATGAAGTTGGTCTTAAAGGTTGAAGCATCAAGAGGGCCTATAAGGGTTATTTATTTATTTATTTATTTCCAATACTACTAGTCCCATTTGGGATTGTTTTAGGGTGGTACATCATACAAAAAGATTTTTGTTTTTTTAGTACACATTTGAAGATAGTGGTATGCAAGCCTATATCGACAGGTGCACTTCCAAATTAATGAGAAAATGCTCTAGACTAGAATGTACAATGTTTCACGGCAAGCGATTCCAATCTTTGACAACTTGGGGGAAAAGAAATATTGGAAGCACTTATTGTGGGTTGGAAGTTCTTTATAAAGTTTAACATGGTTATATCTTGTTAGCCGTTTACCAGTAGGGGTAAGATGATTTCCTGTGGGAATGTTGAAGTTGCTGTTAGCTAATTCATATAGAAACTTGAGCTTTGCAATTTTTTCCTGGCTGATAGTACTAATTTTTATGCATTCATTAAATTGGTGGGGGTGAGGTATCTATTAGTCATGTGCCAATAGCAGATTTTGAGTTTGAAGCAAATAGTGGTTTTGGCTAAATACTTTCAAATCAAATACTGAATGGTTTCTCAAAGCCCAGACTGTTGCACCATGCTTAAACGAAAATCCAGCTAAACTCGTGAAGGTTGTACTCAAGCTTCCACTTGTCCATTTATGAGCTAATTTTAATCTCACTATATTTACAGACTGTGACCTCAGAAAGTTCCATGCCTTGGGATGACAAGTAAATTACGTATTCAACATAAAATGAAACCTATAGTATAGAGCTGCATCTATACCTGATTGAAATTGAGTGGATTTACAAGCCTCGCTATATGCGAATATTCTTTTTTCAATCTCGAATTAATTAAAAAGATATGTATTACGAATGGTTAATGCAGGTTGTCTGGGCATATCTACCTATCATATAAT